TTTGTGTGCATATTATTTTCTCCCCTGCAAAAAGTGGCAGAACGATTTCAGTTGTATTATCATCATTATGGCTACTAGCTAGCTAGCTCCTAGCCGCGTCGGCTGTGTTGCTCTCTTAGATTGCTCTATATTAATCTAAGATAAAAAAGTATGTTTCAAGTAAGCTTGCTCAATCTTTAGCATTGTCAACATTTAAATTTCCATGTCCGAGGTAAAACGCGGGTGTTTTAACTACAAAATACTCTTTTGTAATTAAAACTCGAAATTCTGAATCCACCTGTATGGCAAATTGAAACTACAGCTATTGTTGAGGCATCGAAAAACTAAACGTCTTGAATGAAGGATACCCCTTTCATTGTTTTAATATTTGGTATTAGAGCGGCGAGAGAAGTTACATTTAAAGATTTCATTATTACCATTTTAACTGTTCATTTAATAGTAGATTTAACCCACTACCATACGAAGGGAGAACGGAGGCTTAGTATGCCCTCCATCTTTTAAGTTCCATTGTTATCTACCCTTACTTATCTAAAAACTCACTATACTGCAAGAACGGTATAGTAACCTATTGATTATTTCCTTCCAGGACTTCGAGAACTCCATCTTGTTGGAGATGAAGGTACGCGGATGGGACGGCAACGAAAGCACAGAACACATCCAGTGGACCTTCACCGGCGCGCTGTTCTACTCCATCATTGTTATCACCACTATTGGTCAGTGCTCCATTTTCTGCTGCTTGTTTATTCTTAATATCACCACTAATAGTCCCCAATAGTGGAAAGCGAGCTTCCCTATAGACTGAATCTACGTGGGAGAACGGATCGTCACTGTTATGTGGATTAGTCAACGCTAATGACTGCACACACAGCCGGAACAAATAGCTAAACGGTACTTTTGAAGTACGAAACTTCTAGCTGTAGTGAACGAATATGACGATTCTTATAATGTCACAGTCTATTTCAACATTTTGAATTCATATCTATAACATTAATATAAAGAAAGCAAGGATACACTGACAGACTGACTGACTTATCAATACACAGCTGAAACGGCTGGACTTGAATGATGAAATTTGGACAGTAGGTTCTTATTATTGCCTAGACAAGTAATAACATGGGTTTTTTTTTTGAAATTCAGCCTCTTAAGCGAGAATTTTGCAAGAAAACGTTTGTTCGTAAAATCTTATCCCTTGGACCTATTGACTGCAAATTTTGCTTAAACATTATTTAATAGGTGTACACAAAGCCGGTTACATTAAATTTTTACAACTACCCTCATAAAATTACAATATTTCGTGTCAAAGTTTGTGTGGGAGATCATCCAAAAGTGCATGTGATCATGCAAATTTGCACACCTACTCTTTATAAAATAAAAATGCTATCTGTTGTGTTCACTACCAGCCCAAGCCGAGGGGACCGCGCAGTGGAACTAAATTATTGTTTTGTCCCAACAAATACTTCAGCTGGGGCTTAGAACACAATAGCTCCTGCGATGTCGCAGGGTTTACTTGAATAACTAAATGACTTACCAAATTGGATGTAAGTAAAGTTGTCTGTCGCTTTGGTATCTGCCTGAGAAAGGGATAGGAAGGGATAGGAAGGCAGTACAATTCCTCTGGACTCTTCTCATCCAACAACCGCGCTTATAGCGATCCAAAAATGGGTTAGCACTCACAATCAATTTCACAAATCATGTACCTTACACAAACAACACTAGGATTCTTATAATTTACGTTATTACTACAATATTTCAATGAGATATCCGGTACAAACAAATCAAAGCCACATATAATCGGCGATGCAATTCGAACATGAACCTCACGAGTTCTCAAGACGCCATTACAGTGACAAAAAAAAAACGTTTTTACCCGCGCACGAAAAATAATTCAAATTATGCGGACACCGCACGGCAGTGAAGTTAGGGATGTGCCGTTTTATTCGTAACACTATCTGTGTTTCATTGTTTCAAAAGTACATCAATGAAACAAAGATATAGCATGTTGGAGTTTTAAATAGTGCGTCAACGCACGCCTATAATTTTGGTCGTAGAGACATGATATTTTGTAAATAGGTTGTTTAAATGACGTAGGAATCAAGCGAGAGAGGATTTTTTAATATTCCACTGTTAATTGGGTGATATAGGGGTTCAAAGTTTGTATGGGAAAACGAGTTTGGCTAGCTTGATAGCTTTGAAACTTGGCCTAGATAAACAAGACTGAATCTTGAAAAAATAAGGATAGCAAGTTGTCTATAAAATATATTCAGCAAATTTGCTCTAATATGTTATTACTAGCTGCGACCCGCGGTTTTACCCGTGAAGTTTCCGTTCCCTTGGGAATTCCGAGATAAAAAATTATTCAACCTATATGCCTAAAGGAAATTCTTTGCTAAACAGAAAAATCAGGATGGCCATGCCCATGGCCAAATAGCTTTTAATATACTCGACCTATTTACTTAGAAACATTTTGCTAGTACTTTTTGGCGGGATCGGGAAGCGTCACTATAGCAGTTTTGTTTTTCTTGTTAAAAATTGTGTTGTGGCGGATGTTAGTGTCTAATAATGGTGTATTATTAACCACTAAGTGTTCGGGAACATGCACAAGTGTTGGCAAGTGAAACAAAATAGCGAAAAGTGTCTTTCGACGTTCCTTCAAGAAGTCCGCAGGGAGGTTCCAGTAAATCCCCACACTTTTATTGAAACATGGGGAAACGGGGATTGGCTTGACTGCCACTTACTTTGACTTGACTTATTACTTTGACCACGAGTGCTATAGTATTTGTATACCTACATTTATCACTTAATATTGGCTACATGCACAAGCCGTGCGAAGCCATTTAGAAAAAAAAAACATTTTGCTAAGCTGAAAAATCAGGTGATTGCTGATTCATTATGTTTCCATAGTATTTAAAACACCCGTGTGAAGCTGGGACGGCCGCTAGTATAAGAAAAAATGATGTGGTGTCGTGGGACACCAGGTAGGAACGAAGTTCCCTCATTTAACGCTTTTATTCCACGCACTTTTTTCCACGGATTTTTTCTTACGGTTTTACTATCACATTTTTTTCAGTTCGGTCGCGCAGCAAAATCCCTATCCCCTCCAAGCCTGCCGTAAGGAACTTCGTTCCATTCCAATAATTACAAAAAAAGTTTATTATTATTATTAATATTATTATTATAAATAATTCTTATTAATCAGTCTCGTCATCAAATTCTATTGCTGAAACTATTGCAACTGTCGCGCCTGCGCACGTCTCATTTAACGGTTTTATTCCACGCACTTTTTCCACGGATGTTTTCTTACGGTTTTACTATCACATTTTTTCAGTTCGGTCGCGCAGCAAAATCCCTATCCCCTCCAAGCCTGCCGTAAGGAACTTCGTTCCAATATTATTACAATACATTAAACAAACACGCAAAGAGTTTTTACCCACTTCGCTAGAAAGGTAAATTAAATGTATTCAAAACTTTACATCTGTTGTATTCTTTCCGATTGGCTGTTGTTAGAAAATATAGACGCGATAAATCTTACCGTTTTATCGATTCGAATGGACTATATGTTTAAATTATGTAACTCGAGTTTGTCTGCGAGCGATAGTGTGTGGTACACTACGAGTCGATCTGTGGTAATCGCTGCAAGGTTGGAATTGTGCCAGTTTACGTAAAACGCCACTTTTGTTGTACCTACATACAAACGACGACTATTTTGGGACGCGTTGGCACATCAAATCCGGTGAAAGACCGCCACTGAATTAAAGCGATTTATCATTGAATCTGCTCGTTGTTAATAAAAAAAACTATATACAAACTTTGCAAAAACATGAATTTTTTGATCTGATTATAAGAACGTGTTAGCTATCATTAAAGTATTATGATTATATACGCATACGCGCCACACACATACACACACACCCACAAACACACATACACACACACACACACATACACATACAAACACACACACACTCACTTATCATATTGTACTGTAATATAGGGCCATATTTATAGGGCCGTAGCAACCAAATCCTCAGTTTTTTCGTAATCTAGTGAAAGTTAAAACTTAGTGATCTTCTTTTTAACTTCATATTTGTTGAGGTTTACGATTGTAATGCACTTACTGATCTTATTATAAATACGTATACTCAAGAAGCGACATGAGCGTTGAGCGTAGACGGTTCTGTAGTTTCTGTGTAATCGTATGGGTTTTTGAACCGAACCTAAAAAACCTATAGTTAAAAAGTTTAGTTACCAAATGTAGCGTTGTCGAGGTATAGCTATTGGAGTGATGTGTAGGGTTAAAACTAATGCATATAGCTCATCCATCGAAAAAAGCACAATAAACTCTCTTTTAATCACAGTCATAGGTCAACAAACAATCAAGAACCCTGCTACCGTTGCCTATTAGCAGAGTAGCTTTTATGAAAAGTGAATTGGAAAAAAAAATAAAGAAATAAGAAAAGCGAAGTGTTTATTTCTCCGATGCTCTGCCAACCTCTCTAGATTCGGATTTTGTGTCGCCGCACACGGGCCACCGACCACAACCACAAAACGCCGCCACCGGCATATTTCTTGTAGTTTTCATACATTTTATATGGACTCGCCACACACGGTACGCCGGTGGCCGCCATACGCTACAAATCGTCGTTGCTCGTTTCTTGTGGCCTGCACCGGCCACTTAATGCCCCGATACAAAACGCAGCCACACGTCACTCGCGCGATTCCCACCCCCCTCTCCCTTACCTTAGTCGGCTGCTGTCGCGCGCTTCAGCCACTTTAGAAGCCGCTTCAAGCTTCTCGTGGCGACGTTTGTAGCTGTGGCGTGTCGCCCGTGTGCGGCGACTCTTCCGAGGTGTGGAGGAATGAAGGGGTAAAGGTGGAAAAGGGTGTTTGGGAAAAGACAAATTTAGTGACTAGATAACCTCTGTAGTAGAGACCCCTCTCCTATGGACCCTGCCCTGTTTTAAATCCAGACCAGCTTCTAGGTATATTAAGCATGAATTCATGGTGAATAAAAGACAATATTTGAATGCAACAAAAGTATTTTATACTATAAAGTCATCAATGGGTTTTCGTACATGGCTTATTATTACGTTCAACTGTCGTCATTGTTGAATTCGCCTTTGATCTGGAGCAGCCTGCGAAGGGCATATTAACTGACTTACAATTAGATTTATCACATTGATTGGTAACTCGCATCAGCTGGGTAAGCAGCATTAAACCGAAACTATCCTACAGTATTATTTACACACACTTGAAGGCACAAGTCTTTAGGCAAGCAGTATCGTCATTTTCCATGACGACCAGTTTATTAGTCACTGCACACACATTATTTACCGTAGTAGCGGCGTGGTGGGCCAATCATCCCAGTTGGACCACCAGGTCCGACGAGTACGGGTCGATTCATTCTGCCGTACGGTCCAATTATTCCTGTTGGTCCACCTGGACCAACAAGGACAGGTCGCCTCCCAAATCCTGCTGGACCTATTATACCTGTAGGACCGCCAGGACCGACTAAGACACCTCTCTGAGCTGATTCAGATTGTTGTCCATCATAGTTTGATAAGTAATAGCCCTTTTTGTTTGGGGCTGGTCCTATTATGCCAGTAGGACCACCTGGGCCAGTCAGAACGCCTCTATTTGGCCCTATGACTCCCGTTGGTCCTCCGGGACCGGCTAAGACACCTCTGTTCGGCCCTATGACTCCAGTAGGGCCATCGGGGCCGACTAAAACTCCTTGATTGGGTTGGTCCGGGCTAAAAGTGCCAGTTGGATTTAAGCTGGCGTGGTTGGGTGCTGGTCCAATGATTCCGGTTGGTCCTCCTGGTCCGACGAGTACTGGCTTCTTCCCTGGGCCTACGGAGGCGCCGAGAATAGCGGCTTCGTGTCCAAGTCCCGGACCAAAGGAGCCATCTAGAGCTGTGCCGGGTGGTGAGGGGAAAGGACCAGCTCGCTCGCCCTGGCCCGGTAGTAGGAAAGGCCGCTCATCGTCAACTTCGTTGAAGATTTCTGAGAAAATAGAAAATGTGTGGATTAGTAATTTATATATAATCGGGTTAGCTACGACTACCTAAGTCTTGCAGTATTATGAAGGTAGGTATATTATTAAAATTTGGGTTAAAAGAATTACCTGAATTTTGTAGTTGATTCTTGTTTGGTTGTTTGTAGCAACACAGGAATTTGCCAGAACCGCAAGCTTTCTGAAAATAAAGCATACAAGGATTTCGTTGATAATTTTAAGAATAGATAGTTTATATAAAATATGGGCTTTAATATATAAATGCCTATATAAGACATAGATAATCGAGTGAACGAGATCGAATTACCAACTATTGAGAGTCACCTAGTAGCTGAAGCGATAAGTGTAAGGATGGTTGGTCATGTTAATGTAGATGTCATGAGTACTTATTTGTATTGCCATAGCACGACAAACTTTAGCTATTTATAATTAAAGTACCTATAATTATTATTTTAGGAGCACAGTGCACAATTGGTTATGTCTCTCATCTCCTCTTTGCTCAGTGAGATTGTTTTTTTGTTTTCTTATGTTTATTTCTAGCTCGAAGCTTTAAGCAAATGCGTTGGAAATAGTGTTTTTCTTTTCATACAGTGAGTGTGTCTTCCTTTGAGAGCATCTACTCTTTACTCGTTGTCCCTGGATAGAGAAGATATCTTTCCGATAAGGCGTTTAAAATAGTTTCGGCTTGTTAAGTTGGCTGCTAGTTCGTTCGGGTGACTGTCCATCCTTACTTGGTACTTCATTGTGGTATTTTGGATTTCATCCTTCACCGTGTTCATTTCTTAGTCTTAGACAGGGATCGTAGTTTTTGCATTCGCTGGATAATTTAGATGTTTGTGTTACTTGCGCTTCCCCATAGTTGAATTCCATACATCCAGCTCAGTGAGATTTGCAAAAAAAAATCCAATACTTAGGTCTTTTTCATATACCACCTCTTCAGATTCATTGTTCCCCGATACATAAAATTTTGGGATCTTCTAGGCAAGAGTAAATAGATATTATTCGAGTCTGTGTGCCACAGCTACGACCACATTGTTGCTTAACATTAGGTGCGATTGTGGTCGAACGCAATCAAATCTTTAATAAACTGAAAAAATAATTTCATGCGGCTTTTTTTTGAGTTTTTTTTATTCAAGTTGTGTATTGTACTATATTTTTATATTTACTTACTGCGGAGTCGATATTAGGGCTGCATTCTGGCGTGGAGACACACTTGCAGTACTGCATCGAATCCAAAGTTCCATCCGAATAGTGTTGTTGCCTGAGATGCAAATACAATACGGTATTAAAAACGAAAACTTATAATTCCTCTTCTGTTATGTAACTGTTAGGTCAGTTTGTTAACATGAAATTGTTCATATGTATGACTGCTTGTCCCTTATAAATAAATGAATAGGGTTTGGATTTTTTAATAATTATTAAAAAAATAATGCACATGCTTGCGATGAACGAAAAAAAATGTGGCGATGTAATAAAAGTTACGTATAAAATGCTTTTAGCAATATCGTACACTAAAGGATCAACTGCATTTTACTATCTACCCAATGACGTATAATATATAGATAGGTTACACGCCAACATTATTGCATTTTAAAATGGCACAAGTAGTCCTCGCCCCAACTACCCTCGGCATCAGCCGCCAATAAAACGGACCAAAGTAGTCTCTTACACTCTCATTCATAAACCTGGGCTTCTACTCTCTTTCTCCGAAACGAACTTTCGATAACGAAGTTCAAACGAAATTTAATTTCGTAAATTTAAGGTTATACTTATTTTGAGATTTCTACTATCTATATACTATAAGGTTATACTTAACTATCAAATTGAAGCTTTCTTTGAGTAGGTTTAGAAAATCTACACCTCAATCTTTATTCCGACGACGAAAATTATTATATTTAAAAACGAACCAGAAACAAAGAAAGAAAAGTGCGAAGTTTCGTTTGAAATTTCGTTATTCGTTGAATTAGAGTAGGCCTTCAGAATACATCTCGGTCTTTAGCCTCCACGTGTCAACAGTGACAGCAACTGTCAAAATAAGTAATCACTAAATATTTTTACATTCATTTCTCTAAACTGCACTTACGATTGATAACGTTTTACAAGTTTTTCTTGTCTCTAATAGTTCCCGTGTATTTTGTGTAATATTTAAATTTATAACTATAATACTATTCTTACACATATGGCTTTTTGTGTGGAAAAACTTTAAATATTTACACGTTGTAGCGAAGTGTAGCCGTGGCGGGAGAGCGTGCCCAACTAGGGTTACCATATCTCAGGATTTGTCCTGAGATTTCCGGATTTTTGGACTCTTCTCAGGATTGCGGCTGGATTTTGCAAATCTCTTGAAATCTCAGGATTTTTTGAATTTTCAATAAAAACAGCTAACATTTTAAAGATCTGTTAATAAAAACTTATCAAAACTAAAAATAGTCTTCCTTTGATAATAATTGCACAGTTAAAATCAGTACTTATTTTATCCAAGTAAGTCGGTACTTGATCAGTTTTATCATACTTAGTATGTTATGATATATTATTAATTAAAGTTTTTCTTTAATTATGGATTTATAAAATGCCACACATGTTAAGCTCTTCTAATTATATTGAATTAAAAGTATAAGCAGCATGTATATAAACGACAATATTACGACTTTTCTAAATTGTTAAGTACGTTTGAGAGAAAATTCTCAAACTGTAAAAATCTCAGGATTTTTCAATGGAAATCAAGCCTTTTCTCAGGACTTTTGATTTTTTCATTTGGTAACCCTCTGCCCAACTGAATGCAAGTCGGGCAATTACCTGACTTTCTATTGGCAAATTAGAAGCGTATAACGTCTCTATAACTTTAAAATATCATAGTATCTACAGATTAAATATAGGTGACGGAAAGCTTTAAACCAATATTGTTGGCAATTAATTTTCACTTGTTCACTGGGTACCAAACCAAATTTAATGGTTTTAATAGATACGAATAAGATTTATATTATCCCTTATGTTTGATAATAGCAATGTCTACAATCTACTAAAACCTGTGAATAAAAGCCTAGAAGCGCCATGCTTGTAGAACCTGGGTTCCTAACCTGGGGGTAATTATCCCTCCGGGGGTAAATCAGCCATACTTCGGGGGTAACAAGGAACCTAATTATTTGGTCAAATTTAAATAATAAGAAAATACTATATAATAATACAACTAAATAGAGCATGAGCTCCTTCTTGCTAGCGAGCCCGCGGGGTGCTGAGTGTGGGAAGCGGGGCGAGATTTTCTCCTGCTGATGACATTATTAGAGACGAAGATGTAGCGGCCAAATTGGAATTTCTTGGACTGATGATAACATTTTAAAGTCGAGGTAAAATCTGTTTTCGTAATAGGTTGCCGGGGTAGCAGTATTGGAAAGGTAAGGAAACACTATTGTAAAATAAGTAAGTAGGCACTTAGATGAATCGCAAATTGGAAGCTTAATATTATAACTCTTTTTAGTGGAGGCATCAAGTTAAAATTTAAACCATAATATACTCATATTTGAAACCGCATAACAATTCAGGTCCGTGGTTCCTTAAAGCTGTGAAAATTAAACTTCTGAGTTAAAGAATAAGATACGGTCGTTTTTATATAAATTATTTGGGAATATTTATTTAGTATTATTTAATTATTAGATTTCATAACAATTTAATAATAAATAAATAATATTCCCGAGGAGCTCGATGGCGCAAGTGGTTAGCGGTTCCGATGCGATCGTTGAGTTTAAAATAAATAAATAAATAAAATTCATTTATTTCGAGCAACATAACTCATAATCATAATAATAATGCAATTAAGCAACTTTCGCAGTGGTCAGTCATTGGATGGGTGACCGAAAATTTACTATCTCGAGCTCCTCCGTGCTTCGGAAGGCACGTTAAGCCGTTGGTCCCGGCTGCATCTGCAGTTGTTAGCACCCACCAATCCGCACTGGGCCCGCGTGGGCGAAGCCGCGAAGAACCTTCGGAACTTTATGCTGGTAGTATCACCTAGGTCCATGAGCATGCTTGCTTCTCTAAGTCTGCATGCAGTCCAACTACCTCAGGTTGTAGATAAAACCCCGGTAGACCTCATAGAGGGACCGGACGTCTCGACGCAAATTGGGTAGCCACCCACCTCGGATTATTATATGGTGTACTTAGTATACGCATTCAAGTATAGTTGTTTCGGGTTAGACGTACTTGTGGCGGCGACATCTATATGCCCCACAGATATGCAACGGATGTAGGAAATCATTACTCACCATCCTCAAGAGATGGCGTTACCTGTACTGCGATCAATATTAGTATGGAAGCCTACATCGCGCAAATGAAATTCGGAGGCTAACTCTTCATATATACGATGCCCGACCAACATCAGTTGGGCCGCGGCCTCCGAGCTACCATCAACCAGTTCGGAGAAAGATCTTCCCCTTTGGCCTTCCTTCATACTCATGTAGGTCTGGCGAGACCGACTAGGTTAAAAATCTACTCACGACTTCCTCAGGTTGTAGATTGAACCCGGGTCGACCCTGTAGGGAGCCCGTGGCGTCTCCACACGCACCGGGTAGCGACCTATGCCCGGCGGCCGGTTGTAAAACCCTTCAGTGTTGGTCGCCTCCACGAATTGAGGCTCGTCGGATTGTACCGCGCTGTTTCTATTTCTGTAAAAGAGTCAAATGGTATTGTTATCCCATTATATTTTCTAAAAAACTGTGCGGATATACTAACAGATCATTAAGGATTATGTAAACACTGAGAAATAGGCAGGAAATCATAACAATTAAGATTTGTGTTTATTAAAAATTCTAAATGATGTTAATAAAGATGAATGTAATGACACAATTTATGCTGTATCAGCAATTTTCATAACTTGACTCCACTGACTTACATCAGTAAGGCAATTCCGTAAAATAAAATCTCACTCCCGAATTCAGTAGCTGTCAATCAAAATGTCGCAATGATTTTTGAAGCAGCGGGTAAAAGAAAGAAAGCGGGTAGAAGATAATTTTCAAAAATAGGAATAGATAAGATCGTAAATGAGATTGTATCTTACAGAGTCGACATGCAGATGGAGTGTGATTATTTACTTGCGCCTTGTTTATAGAAAATCAAACGTGCCATTGCGAAGTTTCTCAATAAAACAGGCTTTTTTGTAACCAACACTCATTAGATTTCATAACATTATTTGTACAAAGTTCCTATTTAATACAATATAGATCAACCAATGCATAAATATAACGCAACAACATTCTTGTGGTTTATGACAATTGAATTTTGCAACTTTACAAAGCTTGCAGATTCAAATAGTTGGCATAGGTAAAATACAAAAGAAATTGCAAGTCAACACGTTTCACGATAAAGATTTCGTAAATATTAACAAGATGGTGTCACTACTTATTTGCCTTTCACTTATTTTCAATTGAATAGACTTGTAACGTGTAATAATTCAGGTAATGACTCATAAAAAAGTTAATTGGCTTATGAAATCAATAATCCTGCAGATTTTTTTTTGTTGCTGTACTGGCATACAGTTGTATACATATAGAATGGACCAGTCTAAATTTCTCAACTGATGTTGATGAATCCTGGTATGGAGATGAAGAAGCTTTTGAAAAAGGCAATGATAAAGTTTTACTTTCAGTTGAGAAAATAATCTTGAATTATTGGTAGTTGGTCAAATAGAAGATGACAGTTTGAATAAGAAATATCAAGAAGACCAGATATTTTATTAAGTGACTGTGACTGACTTTTGATGCTATAAATAAGATCCCGAACTATTGCAAAGGAATCCAACGCCAAGGCTACCGTAACACGAAGGAAGGAAGATGCCAATTAGGGTTTGAATCAATGACGCAAACCCATTCTGATGTCGTATCTCGAGCACATTGTTTAGAAGACAATACCATAGTAATGATAATGCAACATCTGTATGTACGAAATTTCAATCGTTAACTAAGGATTAACAGATCTATTCTGCAGACTTATGTTCTTATCCAATTTAAAATCAAGACAATCGACATGCCGAAATTACAGGAAACTTAATTGCAATGCTTCAACAGGAAGTTTGAATCAATATGTAAGATGCGGATTCTAGAGTCAGTTAGGCAAAGAGAATTCTGTAGTAAATATTAAACTAAAATGTTATTAACAAAATAATATTATAAATATTATTGTCTTCTTTCAGTGGAGTGTCCTGTCTTCAATAGTTATTTAATATACTTTCGCTCCGTGTGGGGTGGCTGTGGGATGCCCTGTATATACCTCTAAGAAAATATTAGCAATTTTAACTGTTCGGTCTTGTATAATAATTTTAGTTGGCGTTTTGTTTATTTCAAAATTGTTAGATTAAGTTGTGTTGGCGATTATTGTATAAATAGCATCATCTAGATACTTACCTGCAGTGATGAGAGAGCGGGTTCTCCTGATACAGGTTTTATTAAAAACTTATTAGGAGAACTAATCGACTAATTGTACTATTATTTTATTTAAAGAAATAAACAAATTTTCGTTTTCATTAGAATTTTGATTCAATTATTGCCTATCTGTTCAATGAAAACCATGACTTGCAAATAAAGTATTTGGTTGGTAATGTGTTGGTTGTAAAAACTCCGCTCCGCGATGACTGTTATTGTCTCGCTCTCCTTGGTATTTACAAGGTTTTGTTTATAAAAATGAACTGGTAATTTATTCCCAGAATCACGAAGACACGTAATTCGTAATCTAGGCCAAGGAATCGAACCTGCACACGGTAGTTCGCGTGCAAAGACCGGATGAGGCGTTAATTGCTCGCGGAGGAACCAATACATAGCATTATCCCGACATCTTTATTGCTATCAATTTGTTCAAATACAGTCCGCGTTGTAAGCTTGATCGGCAATGGATTGATGTGTTATGTAATTGCAGAAGTGACGGTCGATAGGCGGCAATAGTAAGGCCTTTTTGCCACTAACGTATACTTGACGACTCCCTATTCCATCCATAGGGAAGGCCTGTGCCCCGGCAGTGGGGACATTAATAGGCTAATGATGATGATGATACCTGACGACTCCAACCAAGGTGGTCTTTGGTAGGACTCATCTAAGTATAGGTCAAGTGTCGCCTTGGGTCACCTTGCTTAGGCAGCCACGATAAAAGTATTAATCAAATGCACCCACAATTTTATCCCATATAAATTTCATTTGCGTAAGAAAGGCACTTATAATAGTAGTCCAAAAGTAAATGAAATAAAAACAAACTGAAAAAGTTCTTTTAAATAGGTCATTTTTTTCCTATCAGCTTCAGGACATCTTTCAGCATATAAGAGGAATGGACGAAAGGAACTCATAAGCATTATAAAGAAGAAGCGGAATGGTTTTGTACTATTTCATATATAAACCTAACAAAGACGTATAATATCTGAAGTACTAAATTTTTTTTGTCATTCATTACATGTAAATTTGTAAAGTGACGTATAATTTTTAAGGGTAACCTAAAGATTCGGTTAGTAACCAATTGTAGTTTCACGTAGTCATTAACTGTTTTTTAAGAACATTTAAATATGTGCCATTTTTATATTTTGGGCAGCAGCATTCTTTTTTATAAGAGGGACCTACGATCTTGTTTAATATAACAGATAGACAGTTAGCCATTGAAAAATGTATGACTAATGAAATTTTTCTTAATAATTACAATTTTGTGATATAAGATGATAAATATAGTGGTACTTTGAGTTTGACCTTTGATATCATCTCGTGAATAATGAACGTCTCATTAAACCTGCATAGATTTTCACACGACCTAATTTTTGTTCAATTGTATTGCATTGTATTGTTCTGTCCTATCGTTGCACAATGTGTTTATAAGTAAAATACGTTAATTTATCTCATTTTTCAGACTGGGTCCTACGCTTAGTAGTGTGAATACAAGTGCTTAACATGTGACATTATTACGCACGTTTATTCACACATATTTTTTTCTACAACATGAAATTCTACTTATGCTTCGTCAGTCTCAAAATGTATACTACTTATTATTATACCTCAGTTTTCATTTTGCATCAAAAGCTCAATCTCGCATCTTTCGAATCTTCACTCTTGTTTTCAAAATTCATCCTAATTAGGTCAATATCTTCACAAAATTTCACACTCTTCATCAGGCGGGGGGAGCGAAATAAGAAAGGGTGCGGTAGTGGTGAGTTTATCTAAAATAGTACAATTTTTTTATACAAACTTGTCTTGATCATCCTCTGACTTAGCATCGATGAAATGGACTTTGGTGTCAATTCTAACTGATGACGCTGCTTCCGGCCACCGCCAGCGCTCCGCGGCGCAGGCGCAGGCATACAATGCGATCAGCAATATCGGTAGTCCTGTTTAAGAAGAAAATATAACTTGAATATCCTGTTTTGTTCTCCAGTTAAGCTAAAGTTCAAGTTCACATCAAATGATGGAAATAATTAGTGGAGTTGTTTATTGTACAGTAGTTTTTAGGGTTCTGTAGCCAATGGGCAAAAATTTAACTCTATTGCTGTCACTCTGTTGTCTGTCTCTCTGGAATGACTTAACGGAAATTATGGTATTTTATGTAGAATGCTTGCCCATAGTTAAAGATTCAATTACATTATTTTTCGTGGGGGATTGGGATCTCATACATGATATGGAGAGGAAAAGAACTTTTTTATTTTATACCCCAGCATGTGACATATCTTTGTCTAGAGTTCGTTTGTAGAATAGATTTTTAAGTGAAAACTTCTTTAGTATCGTTGTGATTTGAGATTCGATGAAACGGAAGTAGAGTATTTGATACAAGATAGGTATCCGTAATTTTAACGACAGATAGTTTATTTATAAGAGACAGATAGCAGTAACGGTCATGGGGTCGACACCAAATGATTGGTGGTACGATCCTAAGCTTGGTATTTTTTTTAATTGATTTTTTTTTTCTTTTATTAAGCTATCATTTATTTTCTGAAACGATTTAAGTACTTATAAAATATTTAATTTTTACCTAGAGAGGTGAATTTTAACACAAATGTTGTCTTTAAGGCGTACCTAGTTAGTTATGAAGGACTTTTACGTGTTCACATTTTTGTAGGTTTCGCATGTGAACAGCACATGTCCGTTTTTATTTTTATTTTATTTCTTTCAATAACAAAAAAGCCGTCAAAGTTGTTATTCTTAGACTATTTATGCTACGGGTGGGGTCTTTCTAAAAATTTAAACTGGTTAGGAATGGCAAATGTTGTTAATGATGTCCCAAATGCTGTATTTAAAATACAAATACTGAAAACGACGATGTACTTCGTAAGTTGTAACAAAAACAAACAAATGATTTTTTCTCTTACGATTTGTTGTACGGAGCCCTTAGTGAGTGTGACCGAATCGCACTTGGCTGGTTTTTTTTGTAGGGTTTTACTCGACCGTAGCGAATGCAAAGGAAATCAAACAGGATATTGACGCTACACTAAACATTGAAGTTACTACATTTTACGTTGTGTTATACGTGCAGTTTGATTTCTTCATGTTACCACTGACCGATAAGTTGTTTCATCGTTAAATTATCTGAATCCATTCAATATTAGAACTTTTTCTTAATTATTTAATTCTAAATAATTGTCTAATCTCTTCCCTTTTTAAAATGAAACTTTGACGCTCGTGACGCATTTCCATAGGATTTTTCCATTTACACCCCGTCCGAAAGAAAGTTTCGCTTTAAAAAGGGAAGAAATAAAAATTCTAATATTGAATGGATTCAGATATTTATTTATATATTTTATTTTTTTATCTTTATTGCACAAAAGTATGTACAAGTGGCGGACTTAATGCCATTAGGCATTCTCTACCAGTCAACCGGAGAATTTTAGCAAAAATCTTAAGGTAGTGCAAAAAGAATTCATCAAATTACTTATTATATTTTTATATCTATGGAAACAAGATAATATATATATATATATACTACATAAAATACATATCTATAAACATACATAAATAATAATATATATATATAAATAAAAATAAATATTTAGATATATACATACAAATCTATATCATATCAGGAGGATGCGGAGGAGGAATCTAATAAATGATGACGTACGGAGCGTTTAAAAGCCAGCCAGCCATATATCTTAATATATATAAATCTCGTGTCACAATGTTTGTCCTCAATGGACTCCTAAACCACTGAACCGATTATAATAAAATTCGCACACCATGTGCAGTTCGATCCAATTTGAGAGATAGGATAGTTTAAATCTCAAATTATAGTCGCAATTTTAATTTATTGCAAATTATTACTTTTGGGCGGTACGAAGTTCGCCGAGTCAGCTAGTATATTATATATATATATATATATATACATACACGACTATATATAGTCGTGTGACGCTTGTGACGTATTTCCATAGGATTTTGTGTGTGTGTGTTATATGTGTGGGGTATGCGTGCGTAGCTCTTCCCGATGAGCATGAAAGTTGGAGGGTAACTCGTAGAAGGCTGAAACGCTACGAGCGTCACGAGCGTCTCAAGCGACAGAATATATTTGAGTGACGCACTAATGTTAGGTTTTTTATAAAAAGAAGTTTCACTTCAGATATTTTGTCCGTGTACACTAATTTAGCAAACTCCTTAGTCGTTAATTTTGTTTTTATTTATTAGTAATTTTTTTTTAATTTTATTTTATGAATTCAATTTACTAACACTAGATTTGTAAGCATAATTGTTACTAACCATTATGGATGAATAATCTGAAATAAATGTTACTATTATTATTATTAAAAGGGCGCCATGTGATTTAAAATGAATTTTAATTGGTAACTAAAAAAAATCCCACAATAGTTTATTTTCACATGGAGGATTTATATTTGGAAGTTTTCGACCATAGTGAAAAAACTGTTATTTAAAAAAAAGTAGGTGTAGCTACTTAACAAATCACACGAAGTTCTTGTAGCATTCCGGGGAGATTTAAGGCTTAATCTAAAAATTGCTGACAAGCTTCTGACTCCAACCAAGGTTATAATAACAATTCCTCGTTTTATGAAACAATACAGATAAGCCATATTACGACAGCCGATAAATAGCTAACTTAATTTCCCGACAATTAAAGGTGTCCATGAAATCATGGAACAAATAGAGATCAGATTATGTATCTAAGCACCTAATTGGCTGATTAAATGACATCAGATTGTTAGCAATTGCGCGTGCACCATTAGTCAGTATGCGTCATTATTGTTATCAAAAGACGCATGCGGTTACTGAGGGGCTGTTTATAAATATAAGACGGTTAGCAATCGCCTATTATTTAGGTAACGCACAAAAGGTCTAACTTTACAACCTAAAACAAGTATGATTTTGTTTATTTTTTAAGCATTTAACTGCTAGATGTTTAAATCTAAAGAAAAGTTTACTAGAAAAAAAATCCACGCGGACCAGGCAGCGGACGGGACTCGAACCCGCATCCTTCGCTATCCGGGCGAATGCACTGACCATTATGCTACCACGGCCCTATTCGCCGCATCGAAATTTTCCTAGCCTTAAGCTGCAAGGCAGCGCCATCTCTTCGCATTGTAGGTAACCCACAATGTCAAATGAATACTTTTTCAAGTATTAAACATTTGAATGAAGAAATATTTTTTCTAGTTATATTTTCTTTAGATTTAAACATGAAGCAGTTACATGATTAAAAAATAAAAATTATAACTAATTAGTTTTATTTGAAATAAGTTTATATTGGGTTTAAATTTATAAAGTTTAAAATCATTTCTTTCCAAGGGAAGTTGCATGAAAATTTGTGTGAAGGAGTTACTGAATAAAGGAGACAACACAACCGACGAGACTTGGGGTGATTTTTTTATGTTAAAAGAGTGACAAACAAGCTTGTATACTTAGATTAAAACAAAAAGGGCTTGCTTTTTGTTTTAATCTAAGCTTGTAGACGTTTGCGATATCAAAAATATGACTTGCACCGTTGCCCATATTGGCCTATTTCCTTACCCCGTGGTGCCTTATACACAGAAAAAAGTTTTGAGTTACTTATAACATATTTTTTTGTTACATATTACATAAAATTCCATTGTTTCTTTTCTCCTCTTTCGTCCATGATATATGTATATATATATATTTAAATGTGTATTTATGTATTACTAGAGGTCGCCCGCGACTTCATCTGCTTTTAACTTAGCTTAGTTTCTTGAAAATCCCTCTGGAACCCAGCATTTTTTCGGGATAAAAGTAGCTTTTGTGTTAATCCAGGGTGTCAGCTAACTTACCAAATTTTATTAAAATCGCTCCAGCCGTTTAGACGTGAAGAAGTAACAAACATACACACTCACATACTCACACACTCACAAACTTTCGCCTTTATAATATTAGTGTGATTATTAGTCTTATTTTATATGTGTATGTCCCCTATTCATAAGTATTTAACATATATATTTATATACACCGACTGCCTTTTCAATGTGTTTTCCTACAACGGGCCTGCTGGCAGAAATTTCAGATTGAAATAAGCCGCGCCCTTGTACTAATATTTTATTTTGTGATTTCTGTCTATTTATATTTGTGTGTACAAAATGTATAAATAAATAAAAATAGTGACTATAGTTACTAGTAGACAAACTCGGTTTTGTTAAGTGTGAGTTCTTTTCGCATACAGTTGAGTTCTGTAGTAGATTTGGTGTTTTAATTGTTCTTCTTATTGGTTAATACAGGCTTAATTGTAAAATTTGACACAGGACACAATGTACTACGTAGGTTATTTCTGTTAAGAGCCCTTTTACAAAATTGCGTCACTGCCATACTGATCGGCGCATAGGTAGATTTGCACTAGTATATATTGCATTTTACGGGTGATGTTTCGAGTCCTTTATAATAATGATTAATGAACTAATTATAAAAATATATACATGATTCAGTAGTTCAATGATGGTAGATTAGTTTAATGAAAGTTTTTAATAGCAATTCTATTTAATTCAATATCAAAATACGAGGTAAACCTGCATTATTTTTTGGGAAAACTCACGGAGGTTAGATGTTTTTTTTTGATAATTATTGAGATTAAAATCAAAATTCTAATACATTATGTTACAACAAAAACATATTACTGATATTGTAGTAATTAATTTGATCTAATTTATCGAACATTATTGTGAAATTGAGGCGTTTGAAGTTGTGCATATTAACGTTTTTTCCGTAAACTAGCTGCAGTAGAACGATCAGTACAAAAAAATGGAAAATAGTATTTGCAAATATTCTACATTAACTTACAATAGGAAGAATAAATCTACTGTTTACTTCTATTGGAAATAATCAAAATCTTTTCTAAGGGGGTAAACGAGGCGCTCAAAAATAACGATTTTTTGGAAAAAATGTGAAA